CTTCAAAAACTTCTCATTTCTCTGTCCTTGATCTCAAGGATGCCTTCTTTTCTATTCCTCTGGACCCCCAGTCACAAAATATCTTTGCCTTTACTTGGACTGACCCAGACACTCACATTTCTACACAACTTACTTGGACAGTCCTACCTCAAGGGTTCCGGGACAGCCCCCATTTATTTGGTCAGGCCCTAGCCTCTGATTTATTCTCTTTGTCTCTCCCAAAATCCAAGTTGATACAGTACGTAGATGACCTTCTCCTTTGTAGTCCATCCCTAGAAATAAGCCAGGCCGACACATCTACTTTGTTAAATTTTCTATGTAGCCGAGGATATAGGGTATCACCCTCTAAGGTCCAGCTGTCCATTCCTCAGGTAACTTACCTAGGACTAACTATTACTCCAACTCATAAGGCTATTACCCTAGATAGAAAAAAACCTAATACAATCACTTACAGTCCCCACCACAAAGGATGAAATCTTATCCTTCCTAGGAATGGCCAGCTTCTTACGTTCTTGGATTCCTTCCTTCTCCCTTCTTGCTCGCCCTCTGTATCAGGCAGCCCTTGGCCCATCACATGAGCCTCTCCTTGCACCTGTTACCAAGCCATTTCGTCAGCTTCAACAGGCCCTCCTACAGGCTCCAGCCTTACACCTTCCAGACTTAACGCGTCCCTTCTCTCTCTATGTTACTGAGAAAGAGGGATATGTCCTCGGGGTCCTGGGTCACCAACTGGGACCTTCCTTTGCACCAGTCGCATACTTATCAAAAAATTAGATCACACTATCCAAGGTTGGGCACCTTGTCTGCGGGCTCTGGCTGCAGCTGAACTCCTCATACGAGAATCAAAGAAGTTAACCTTTGGGTCTCCTACTACTGTCCTCTCTCCTCACCACCTGTCCCATCTTCTAACATATAAGGGTCTCCAAACATTACCCCCTCCAGAGTTCTCTCCCTTCAGGTAGCATTAGTAGAGGATACAACACTTACCTTTCAGCCATGCCCACCTCTTAATATTTCAAATCTTCTCCCCCAACCAGTCTCAAAATACTCCCCATCTCACTCTTACATTGAGACCCTAGAAGAGTTACTACCTCATCCTACACATATACATGAGGGAGCTCTACCCCAAGCCACCTATACATGGTATACGGATGGCAGCTCCTTCCTAAACCTGTCATACCATCTCTTATTTCAAACCTTAATCTCTACATACCAGCTATTAAATAATGTCTTGCCTAACCGCTTTGAAGAATGCTGGTTGTGTGTCCCTCCTGGGTCAAACTCACAACCACCCTTTGTGGCCTCACCCATTGTCTTAACAGATTTTCCCACTTTGCCACTTCTAAACTGCTCTGAGCCAAACATTACTACCACCCCTTATCTCTCCCACATCTCTCTCTTCGGTATCTCAGACTGCTTTAGCTCAGCAGGAACACACCTTGTGGGCATTCTAGATTCTAAAGACTGCAACAATACCATAACGCTTAATACTACCACACAGCCCCTATGTCCAAACATTCACAATGCGTCGATTCTCTGTGGCACACAGGTATACCACTGCCTGCCTGCCAGTTGGTCTGGGACATGTACCCTGGTGTTCCTCTTCCCTAAATTAGGAGTGATACCTGGTGAAGAGCCCCTACCAATTCCCATCACTAAGTTTATAGCAGGACGACATGACAAGCGAGCAATTCAGATCATACCCCTCCTGGCAGCTCTGGGCATAACTGCAGGTGTGGCCACAGAAACAGCAGGATTAACTATTTCCCTAACGATGTACCATAGGCTTTCCTCACAATTCATCCAGGATTTCCAACAGGTAGCTCAAACCATCCTCACCCTTCAGGGTCAGATAGACTCCCTATCTGCTGTAGTACTACAAAATCGGAGAGGACTAGATTTACTAACAGCAGAAAGAGGTGGACTTTGCCTCTTTCTCGGGGAAGAATGTTGCTTTTATGTTAACCAGTCAGGAATAGTAAAGGATAAAATTCAACAACTTCAAACAGACCTTCAAAAATATAAAGAACAACTTGATAGCTCTGGCCAGTGGATCACTAATAATCCAATATAGAACTGGATGCTACCTTTTCTAACTCCTCTTCTCTCTGTTTTCTTAATTCTACTAGTGGCACCCTGTCTTATAAATTTTTTGTCTAGATTCCTTCAACCACAAGTTCAAAAAATTTCTAACCAAACTTTCAACCAGTTGTTATTACAGGGTTATCAGCCCCTAGCTAAGGAACCAGAAAGCTACAACACCTGGACACATCTGGACAAAGATGAAGATTGCCCCATGAACCTCGACGCCCCCATTCAGCAGGAAGTAGTCTAATGATAACACCGCCCCTTTTCCAAACCCCAGTTTTATTAAACAAAAAAGGGGGGAATGTAGGGAAAAGGGACCAGTCAAAGAAACACACCCTGAGCAGAGCCAAAGAAACACACTTTGGCCCTGCAACCAGAACCAAAGAAATGTACCCTGACCCTAAAACCAGTGCCAAAGGAACACACTTTGTCCCTGGAATCAGAGTCAGTGAAAGAAATGTACCCTGGCCCTAAAATTGGAGCCAAAAGGCTAAAAAGGACCAGAGAAAGAAGCACACTTTGGCCCTGAAACCAGAGCCAAATCTGACCCTAATCCTGTGTAAAAAAGTAACCAATCCCGGAGCAGAGCTCTAGCCAATCTGAGCTCAGCACTGAAATCGGACCAATCCCTACCCTGGAAAAACTTCCCCAACCCCAGGAACCCCTATATAAACCCTGTGTATGTTCAGCTTGGCTGGTCCAGCTGTCTTCCAATAAACACCTTTGGATGAGCTTCGGGTGAAGATCTTCTTTTGCGGCTACGACAGAGCAAAGGCGACCCTGGGCAGAGCAGAGCAGAGCGAGCAGAGGCGACCCTGGGCAGAGCAGAGCAGAGCAGAGCAGAGCGAGCAGCGCTGTAACACTTGCCCGGGAAACCTTCCTTGGCAGAGCGGAGTTGTTACACTCTGCTCCCGCCCGGCTCCCTGCTCTCCGCTCGGCTCTCCAGGAGCAGAGCTGAACTGTAGCAACTTCGCCCGAGAAACCTCCTGCAGAGAAAAACTGCTACACTAGGCGAACATCCCCAGCTGGAAGACCCTGTCCTGCCGGAGTGGAGCTGACACACCGGAGAAGCCTTTCTCTGAGGCAAGGCTGTAAGCTGCCAAGCTTACTGCAACCTGTGGTGATCCTTGGCTCCCGAGCTCCAGGATACCTTTCTACCTGAGCTGTGTAACACTCAGTATCCTTGGCTCCCGAGCTCCAGGATACCTTTCCACCTGAGCTGTGTAACACTGGGTATTCTGTGACTCCCGAGTGCCAGAATACCTGACCCACTCCTGTTCCATCCTGTCCTGACCCATCCCGACGAAACGCTTACAGTCATGGGGCCATGGTGCCACCAGACAGAGCCTGGGACATGGCTGTCACTGGTCTCCTGGGGCACATGTGGTCTCCCGTTTCTGGGAGAGTTTGGTCTCTGAATGCTCGTAAGGTCAGCTCCTTGGGGCTCTCAGACCCCGAGGTTCTCATGGTCTGATGAAGCCAAGTTCAAAGCGACTGAGGACAGAGAGCCAAGCCTGCCCTCTCCCAGGACATGGGAGCAGAGTAGTCTGTGGATGTCATGACTCATCATCAGCCCTTGGTTGTTTATTTTTGTTTTGCTTTGGGTGATATTTCTTACATTCTAAAGGTCCTTCCTTCCTTCCCCCATCTACTTTCTGATTTGATTTTTACAAAAAGGGTATCATTTTCACCATGAGGCTAAAGTGAAAATTACTTAGGAGTCCAAGAGGCAGGAAGAATGAGCTAAAAGTAGGACATGCTTCAACCTAGAGCATGTCAAGTGCCCCTGCATGTTTGGGGCTTCATGGAGCAAGCACACTTCTTTCTTCTTCCTTCCTTCCTTCCTTCCTTCCTTCCTTCCTTCCTTCCTTCCTTTCTTCTTTTTTGTTTGTTTGTTTTTGTTTTTTGAGGCAGAGTTTCTCTGTAATGCTAGCCTTCAGCCTGCAGAACTGAGTGGTCATGGCTTTGTGAGGTTTGTGAAACCTTGTATAAAGGTATAAATGACAAGGCCATAATCACACCGAGGCCCTGTCAGACTCGATGGAATTAAGTGAGAGAAAGAGCTCACCAGGTCAGGTGGTGGAGAGAAAGGGGAGAGCTTAGACAGTGGGGAGGACAGTGGGCGTGGCTTAGCAGGCAAAATGCAAGCTGATGGACTCGACCCTGGAGGAGGGACAGGGCCCACAGGACAGAGACGGTGAGAGCAAAGCTCAATTCTGAGACACTCAGCACGGAGACTCTAAGAAACACCTGTCCAGAGATGTTTCTGGAAGGCAGCCAGGTCCATAGGAAGAAGCTCAGGCTTAGGCTGGAGCTAGAAGTAGGCAGTGCTAGCAGGTAGACGGAAAACAGGTCAGGGAAGTGGAGGAGGCTGCATAGGGTAAGAAGAGGAGGCTGCCTGGGGAAGTGTGCATAGGATAAGAAGAGAGGACGCTTCGGGGACAGACTGCTGGACACTGACATGTAAGAATGGGTCATGGGTGGAGAAACAGGCCACAGAGCCCTCTGGGAAGGCAGTCTAAAACTGGGGAACCAGGAAAGCCCAGTGACAAGAGAAAAGAAGGCTTCCGAAAGGAAGGAGCCACTTAGAGCACTGATCGCTGCCTCTGCTAACCAACCCTTCTCCTTCGTCTTTATACACCTCTTGCTTGGAGTGCAGCATGCTGTTATGTCTTGGTTTCATTTACAGAGCGGCTATCTGTTAGCCAGCTCATGCGAGGAAGACTGTGCAAGCCCACTTGTCTGACTGAGTAGTTCACTCACACATGGGCTTCCTCTAATGTCATCACTCTTGCCATGATGGGGCCGAGAACACTCAGCAAGCTTGTGCCAGCATCTGACCCAGGTACCGAGTAAATGCAGAGGACCAAGGGCTGTGAGGGCCATGCTCCAGGCCCCATGTGCTGGCTTACCTGGCACTCTCGAAGGTGGCAGATGCAGTTTTCTCTATGGCTCCAAATCCTACACCGACAGCGAGACCCTCTGAAATAGAGACAAGTCCCTAGGTTAGGAGTTACTTCTACTGCCATCTTTGTAACGGGTAGGACTGCTTTAGGCTGCAAGTAACAGTCAATGTTAACAGTGACATTTTTAAATCTAGGTTCATCAACTCCAGTCTGCCTCCTGTTTGATGTGTGGGAGAGAGAAAATGTGTGTGTGTGTGTGTGTGTGTGTGTGTGTGTGAGAGAGAGAGAGAGAGAGAGAGAGAGAGAGAGAGAGAGAGAGAGGGAGGGAGGGAGGGAGGGAAGGAGAGAGGGGGGAGAGAGAGAGAGAGAGAGAGAGAGAGAGAGAGAGAGAGAGAGAGAGAGAGAGAGAGCAAATACAGATTGCCAACATGATAGAATTTAGAATTACCATGGAAACAAATTCCCTGGGCATATCTGTAAGGCATTATTTCTTTTTCTCCCTCCCTTCCTCCTTCTCTCCCTCCTTCCCTTCCCCCTTTCTTTCTTTGAGACAGGGTCTCTCCATGTAGTCCTGGTTGTCCTGGAACTCACTATGTAGACCAGGTTGGTCTCGAACTCACAGAGATCTGCTTGAGTCGCCATGCCCAGCCCAGAGACATTATTTCAATTGGATTAATTGAGGTGGAAAAACACACCCTAAATCTGGGGGGGGGGTGCCTTTACACAGGGCCAGTGCCCAGAATGAAAACGGAGGAAGTGATCCGAGCACAGGCAGTCACCTTCCTCTGCTTCCTGACTATGGATGCCATGTGACCAGCTGCCTCAGGCTCCTGACACCATGTCTCCCCCACCAGGACGGATTGTACCCCCTGAACTGCACCCATACCCACTGACGCCTTCTGCCCCCCACAGGGGGAGTGCCACTCCTATGATCCAAGCAGGAAGAATCCCCATACTTGTCTGGGTTAAGACCAAGGACTTTTTGAGCTACCCTGGAGCATTTTTACAGAGTCCTAGAGGCATACAGAATAAGTAGTCTGGGCTGTTCCAGGTGAGGGGCAGAGTTCACCTAAGACTCAGTATGGTTTGCCAGATGCTACCATGGCGCGAGGGGGGGTGGCGGCAGTGACCTGCTAAGCTGTCAATGACTCCTGGGTGCCTCAGTTTACCTTTAGGTCCACTCTCCTGTGTGGCTCTGTCACAGAACACCTGTGTTGCTATAGGCAATCTGGTTGAGAATTTGGGGTTCCGGTTTCTCACCAAGTATCTTAACCCTACAATACAGAGTTCTAGGACCTTTTAAAGTGGGGGAAAGCCCCAGGTCCCAGCTGGAGTGATGCCTTGGCCATTTCTAGTTTCTGAAGTCACATGTTTGGCGGGGGGGATTGGAGGGTGGAGATTTCTTCCTAAGACCACAAAATGGCTTGGAGACTCCTTAGCCTTGCTTCCCCAGAACACACGCTACACAGGACAGCGAGCCACACAGAAGTCACCAAGGCACTCCTTCCTACAAGCTCTACGGGGAAGGAAGCCAGCTAAGTCAGTCAGGGCCAAGGCCACCAGCTAAGCCAAGGCCAGGCCACCAGATTATTTTAAACTGATTTGTTTGTTTGTTTGTTTTGGTACTGTTGATGGAATCCAGGGTCCTGCTAAGGCCAGGTAAACCCTCTGCCAGTGAGCTATATACCTAGCCCTCAAAACCGAGTTTATTGAAACTTCATTCATGGGGCTGGAGAGCTGGCTCGGTGGTTTAGAGCAGTTGCTGCTCTTGCAGAGGACCCGGGCTTGATTTCCAGTACCCATGTGACGGATCACGGTTCCAGGGTATCATATGCCCTCTTCCGGCCCCTGCAGTCACCAGGAATACAAATGCACATGCAGGCAAAACACTCACGTGTGTAAACTGAAATGAATAGATTTTGTTTTTATAGTTTGTTCACTTCAGTTTGTCTCTGAGGAACCTGCCTGTATGCCGATGCCCACTTGTCCAGGGTGTCCTCCAAGACGACCTGCTAGGGCCTTGTTTCAAAATCCTCATCTTCTAGAGTCCTTCTCCTTAAAAGGTGGGGGCAGAGGGTCCTCAGCATGCCAGGCTGTGGCTGTCATCTCCAGGCTCTGGAGCAGAGGGCAAAGGTGACAGGGCACTGTGACTCAGGCTCTGAGAGCCAGAGCCCTGGGCCCCGCCCCACAGCTGTCTTCTCTTCCTCTTCTTCCCCAGGTGTTCACATCTGGAGTGGAAGCCGCCATCCCAGGCAGGGGTTAGACGGACGTGATAGTGATATCTGCCTGGTGTCTCTGACAAGCCTCCACATGGGGCAGGCAGGGATGAAATTACCCCTGCTCGGGACAAGCTGCAGTGTGGAGGGCTGAGGTCCGGGCTGCAGCGTGGAGGGCTGAGGTCCGGGCTGCAGCGTGGAGGGCTGAGGTCCGGGCTGCAGTGTGGAGGGCTGAGGTCCGGCGCAGCCTCTCCCTGAAGAGTTGCCCATACCACACCCAGGAGAAAACAGAGCCTCCACCTTCATGCCACCCAGGCATTGCCAAACTGCTGTCCTCTGCCGGGAGGTGCAACAGCACTCCTGAGGCCCCCAACCCACTCCCACGGGTGACACTGCATTGTCGGGACAAGGATCTTCCCGGAGACTCTTGCCAGCTGAGGACAGGTGTCAAAAACTGGGAAAGGACTAAGGCTTTTATTGACCCCCAGACTCCATACTTCCCTTTGGGGGAAAATCGCTCTTTATAGCCATAAACAACAGCTGGTTGGTTCCTCTGTTAATGTTTTTTTTTTTTCCTAATCAGTTACTTTAATGTAAATCACAGAGCAGCCTAAAGCAATGGTACATAAGTTAATCATCAAAATAACCCCACCCCCAGAGTGGCTCAGCCAGGACACAGCCCAGCACTTTGACGTATGCATGCTCACTGGTGCTTTGGGAGGGGACAAAGGATGAGCAAAGTGACCCAGCTGTGGAGGGGTGGACTGGTCTTGAACTTATGGCGCCATCTGTCATCATTCCCAGAATGCCATTCGATAACCAGTTTGTTGCCTGGGCTCGTGGCCCCCCCCGCCGCCCCACCCAGTCCCAGGCACCAAACACCAGCTTCTGCAGCTCCATTTCCAGCAGGCTGAATGCTTTGCTCCAGGCCAGCTATGCACCTAAGGCAGACTACCAGCAGGGGGCCATCCACTAGAGAACTTTGTGTGCCGGTTTCCAAAGGAAGCCAGCCACAGCTAAAGACCTCTAAAGCATGGGGCTGACCTGAGCGTGGCGAGCTCAGGTTCCCACTGGATTAAGCAAGGGAAGAAGGAATAGGTGGAGAGAAGGTTTTAGGTACTGTGCTTAAAGGTGGGAGGTGATCTCGGGAGTTAAATGAATGAGAAGCTAAGACCAATTGCACGCGCAGAAAGAACATAAACGAGAGAATCAACAGATGGAAGGGGGGACCGCTGGTGGGAAAGGAAGGGAGTCAAAATGCCGACTCCTACCCCAGGTGTTCCACCAAAAGTGCAAATGAGGGAGGTAATTAAGACGAGATGCTCACGCGCCTGGAATACATCATTAGGGAGCTTCTGCCATTAGCGCCCACCCGTACAAAGAGAGGAGGAGATAAGCTGCCTGGACCAGTGAGGGCGGCTGACTGCAGAGGAGGGTGCTCGGAAGGCAAGCCAAGCACCAAGGCTAAAGCTGCCGTAGCCACCACAGCCTTGCCCTGAGACCCGGATAGAGCAGTCTGTCCCTTGCCACTGCCCTTTCCTTACTGAGGCTCAGGGGGTCAGAAAGATTTGTCATAAGAGCCTCAGGTGGTGGATGACTATACAAAAACATCAGGGAAGTCGTATTAGTGAATTCACAGTAACTGAGACACCATGCACAAGAGTTACAGAACCCCAGCATGGGGAGGGGAGGTGGGCAGGAAGTCCCACCCTAGCTAAAGCGGAATTGACAGCTGATAGGGGATGGGGAAGGGAGAGTCAGTTTTCTTCAAGGCTGTGGCCCCTACTAGGTAGACCGCCCTCCAGTGAAGACCACAAACTGGACTCAATGGGTTTTTCTAAGGGGAGGGAGACACAAAGCTGGGTGGGTAGGGAAGGCGGGATGGATCTGGGGGGAGTAGGGAGAGGGGTGAATATGATCAAAATGTATTGTACAAAATTCTCTAAGAGAGAGAGAGAGGGGAGAGAGAGAGGGGAGAGAGAGAGAGAGGGGGAGAGAGAAAGAGAGAGAGAGAGAGAGAGAGAGAGAGAGAGAGAGAGAGAGAGAGAGAGAGAGAGAGAGAGAGAGAGAGAGAGAGAGAGAGCAATGAGGGCCTTTGGCTGAGACAGGCCCGATCTTGGATCCTACCCCATTACATAAAGTTCTTACAGAATTGAAAAGAGAGTCATTTTTTTTGCTTACAGGGTGAACTTGCTAACAGCAACTGACCTGGGAAAAGTTAGAATTGGCTAAAATTCTCTAGGGCTCATGGCCAGTGCTTGAACATTCTAGAAATCCCATCTCTTTTCATGCCAGCGATCAGCACCTCCAACAAAAATTCAAAGCATTCCAGAACACCCCAGAAGTCTAAGTAGCCCAAGTCCAGGAAAAAGGAGAAGTGTCTTTTCTCCTTGCTGTTGGCTCTACCGACTCTTGGCTTCAAGGGCATGGGACAGAATTTGCAATACTTTCTTCCCAGTCTTGCAAACATCAACATCTATGTGACTTCAACTTTGACGGATGTCTTAGTTGCAGCAGGCTGCTATAACAAAATACTACAGACTGAGTGGCCCATAAACAAAAGAAGTTCCCACTTCATTCTCCTGAAGTGTGGAAGAACCAAGATCATGACACCAACAGATTTCCTGTCAGAGGAGGGACACTTACTGGTTTATAAATGGAGACACCTTTTCAACGTGTCCTCAAGCCAAGGGGTTTTCTTGAGGTATCAATTCATTCCTGAAGCCTTCATTCTGAAGACTTAATCCTGGTTCTCCAGCCCCTGCCTCCTAAACCATCACACAGGTTACGATTTTACCATATGGATTTTGGAGGGCCACAAACACTAGGGCCACAGCAGCTGTCCTTCACAGAGGCTGGG